ATTATTACTATTATTATTATTATTATATAACGTTAATAATAGTGCTGATGATAATAATGACAATGTTAATAATAAAAACAATAATATCAGAAGAAGAAGAACAAGAACAAGAACAAGAACAAGAACAAGAATCCTACAATCCTAGAATCCTAGAGTCATAGAATCATAGAATCATAGAATGATAGAATGATAGAATCATAGAATGATAGAATGATAGAATGATAGAATGATAGAATGATAGAATGATAGAATCATAGAATGATAGAGTCAAAGAATCATAGAATCATAGAGTCATAGAGTCAAAGAGTCATAGAGTCATAGAGTCATAGAATCATAGAGTCATAGGGTCATAGAGTCATAGAATCATAGAGTCATAGAGTCATGGAGTCATAGAGTCATAGAGTCATAGAGTCATAGAATGATAGAATGATAGAATGATAAAATCATAGAATCATAGAATCATAGGATCATAGAATGATAGAATGATAGAATGATAGAATCATAGAATGATAGAATGATAGAATCGTAGAATGATAGAGTCATAGAATCATAGAATTATAGAATCAAAGAATGATAGAATCATAGGATGATAGAATGATAGAATGATAGAATGATAGAATTATAGAATGATAGAATGATAGAATGATAGAATCCTAGAATCATAGACTCATAGAGTCGTAGAATCCTAGAATCTGCTGTGGTGTTGAGCCCCTCTCGGCCCGGGTTGGCCCTGACGTGCAAGCTTGTTTGTTCCAGTCCACCCCCGACATAGGGTCTGAATCAATTAATTGATAACGGCGTAAAATATTTAGAATGAGATTTCCTTTTTCTTTTTTTTTTTTTATTCCTTTCAAATAGATATCGGGTCCAGCGCACCCATATCTCATTACAATCGCGGCGGGAGATCGACTCGGGACAATTTGTATTGATCTGTTCATCGTTAAACTATTGGCTGTGACAGGGTGAAATAGATAGATAGATAGATAGATAGATAGATAGATAGATAGATAGATAGATAGATAGGCAGGCAGGCAGGCAGACAGACAGACAGACAGACAGACAGACAGACAGACAGGTAAATGATGATAATGATGATGATAAGCATGCAATGACGAATAGATAACGACAATAAAGGTACTTTTCGCAAGGACCAATAATGACAACGATTATAAAATATATAATAATAACAATATTAACCAGGAAACAACGATTACAACAATGAGAAAACAACGACGGTGAAGAATGGGACGATGATGACAATAAAAAGGGCAACGATAAATTTGATAATAGCGATGAAAACGAGAAATTGATAAATATGATGATAATAGCGAGGTAACGAGACAATGATAATACGTAAAAATAGGGACGAAAAAGAGGGAATGATAAATATGATGATGGTAGCGATGAAAACAGCAACGATAAATACCTCGTCACGATGATAGAAAGCAACAATAAATAAATGTGAAGATGATTACTATGACAAATATGATGATGATGATGACGAAAACAACATCGATAAGTAATATGACGATGACAACAAGGATTTAAAAAAACCCTCTTACCTGACCAAATTGTTCAGGGTTGGTATAATTACTGAGTATCGCACGATGCCGTGGTTCCTGGTCATAAAAGACGAGTACGGTACCATAAGGCCAGCGCCAGCGCCGGTATCGAAGGCGTTTTGGCTGAGGGCATCGATCCACAGGCGAGGGTTGCCCAGCGATTCTGATTAAAGAAAGAGTTTAGTTTTAGTGGAAGTTTTACCGCGCTTGCAACTGCATATGGTCATATGAGCGCCAAGGGGTGGATGTCAACAGGGAAGTCCTTACAGGGAATCAGACTTACTCTGCTCACCTCTCTAGCTTCAACAGCACAAAGTCTGCTTCGACTATCAAGGCACCCTGAAAGTGGCGGTTCACAAGAGAGTGACAAACATACAAAAGAAGTAGAGGCAAAAATGACAATAGTGAGGATCAGGAAAGAAAAAGCAGCAGTTCCCTGTTGTAGATCAGGCACAGTTATGAGCGTGACATTGATGAATCAGCCCATTTACAATTCTACTGTGCATAAGATAAGAACATGTAAGCCTTTCAGGGCCACCCCGGGCTGAGAGGGATACAATCAGAAAGACCGCGATACTCGGTAGCTGGATCGATACTAACATAACAACAGCAAGAATAGATTTCAGTTTTAGTAAGTGTTTTAAGACACTTGCAACACAATTATGTCATATAAGTGCCGGAGATTAGAGGTGTTACAAGCGAGTAACAAACATAAAGAAGGAGGAGAGAAAAAATGCTCCCCATGATAAATCTCACAACAGGGAGAAGTGAGTAGGTATGTGACCCCAATGTCTATACCCCCCCCCACAAAAAGGCAAATAAGTAAATAAATAAATAAATAAATGAACAAATCAATAAATAGATAAATCAATAGATAAATCAATCAATAAAAAATAGAACAAATAGAATAAATGAAACAAACGAAATAGAGTACAGAAAAATAAAATAGCATTAAAAATTTTTTAATAAAAAATATAACATACCATCCCGTGCACGTATCACCCCCTGCACGTATCACCCCATATGCACGTATCACCCCGTGCACGTATCACCCCATATGCACGTATCACCCGTGCCGTGCACGTATCACCCTGTGCACGTATCACCCCATATGCACGTATCACCCCATATGCACGTATCACCCCGTGCATGTATCACCCCGTGCATGTATCACTCCGTGCATGTATCACACCGTGCAAGTATCACTCCGTGCATGTATCACCCCGTGCAAATATCACCCCGTGCATGTATCACCCCATGCAAGTATCACTCCGTGCATGTATCACCCCGTGCATGTATCACCTCGTGCAATGTGCATGTATTACCCCGTGCATATATATGTGCATGCCTCACTTAATCCATGTATCACCTCGAGAATGACCATCCCATTCACGTATCACTTCGTGTATGTATCACCCGTGCATGTATCACCCGTGCATGTATCACCCGTGCATGTATCACCCGTGCATGTATCACCCCATATGCACGTATCACCCCGTGCACGTATCACCCCGTGCACGTATCACCCCGTGCACGTATCACTCGTGCATGTATCACCCCATATGCACGTATCACGCCGTGCACGTATCACCCCGTGCATGTATCACCCCTAACTAAAATAATACTATCTCTCACCCCAGTTGGGGGTGAACAGGTAAGTGATGCCCATGTCGGCGTAGTCCCGGGTGAGTGACCAGACGAAGGTGAAGAGGAGGATGAGCAGAAGGACGGGTACCAGGAACAGAGACACCTTCTCTATCGTCTTCACCCCCTTCACCACAGACAGGCCGGCCAGGGTCACAGCCAGGGCGGACGTCAGAACTGGCCACAGGCTGTCCTGGAGGGGAACGAAAACAATACAAAACAAAACATTAAGAAGGAACAAGGAAAGTGGTTTCTGTTGTTGGTTTTTTTTTGGTGGGGGGGGGGGTCCTAAGGGTCAAACAAACAAACCAAAACATGAAGAAGGAACATGGGAAGGAGTTTTTTTGGGAGAGGGGGGGGAGGGGTGCGTAGGGGTCAAACAAACAAACAAAAACAAAAACATGAAAAGTAACAAGGAAAGGTTGTTTTTTTTAATGTTCGAACGGATTTAACGGAACTTGCAACAGAGTATGGTCGTATAAGTGCCGAAGATTAGAGGTGTTACAAGTGAATAACAATTACAAAAAAGAAGGAGAAGAGATAAAGACGATAGATGTTTAATAGGAAAGAAGGGGCAAAACCACACCAGAGCATCCACCAACCACCCACAAGGAAAGGTGTAATATACACTGCCGTGCTGAGATCTGAGATGTGATGATACATGTATTGGTGATGTTTGAAAAGACCACTGGCTTTCCTGGAGAAAAAACAGCAACATACAGACAAACAAAAGTTGTGGAACAAATAGAAATATAAAAGGACATGTTATGATCAGATGGATGGATGGATGGATGGATGGATGGATAAATTGGTGACGTCAGAAGAGACTCCCTGGGAAGAAAAAACAAAACAAAACAACCACCCCTCCCCAAAAAAAAACCCCCCAAAAAAACAACAACAACAAAAACCCAACAACCAACAACCATGAGGAGGCGGTAAAAGCATACACCGATATGTGATCAGAAAGATGGACAGATTGGATATCGTCAGAAAAGGAAATGTACTTTCCTAGATGAATAAAAAACAACAACACAAAACAAAACAAAACATGGGGGAACAATAAATAAAGGTAAGCACAGACATGTTGTTGTGATCAGAGGTGACGATAGACTACAGGCGCTCCTGGAGAAAACAAACAAACAAACAAACAAACAATCAAAAAAGATGGAACAAAAAAGACAAACATAGACATGTTATGATCAGATGTACTAAGGGGTTAGTGACGTCAGAACAGACCACAGGGTTCTCCAGAAAAACAAAAACAAAAACATGAGGAGGTTTAAAGGCATACACAGATATGTGATCAGAGATTTCGAGGAATTCCTGGGGAAAAACAAAACAAAACAAATGAACAAACAGGGAAAAAATGATGGCACAAATAAAGGTATACACAGACATGTTATGATTAGAAGTAAGGATAAATCGGTGACGTCAGAATAGATTCCCTGGAGTGAAAACAAATAATTTCAATAAAAAACAACAACTATGAGGAGGCCGTAAATGCACAAACTGATATGTGATCAGAGATATGGACAGATTGGATATCGTCAGAAAAGGAAATGCACTTTCCTAAAGGAAAATACCAACAACAAAACCCAGAACACAACATGGAGGAACAATACTTTTTTTTATGACGGCGGATGTGATGTGAATATCCGTGTTATATGGTCGCTTTTAAGGACAAGTAGGCTAACCCAGATTTCGGGGGTTTCCAGAAATCTTGACCTACACCAAAAGTGCGATTTATCCTACCTAAAGAGAAGTTTAGTTTCACTGGTGGGAATATTTTTTTAGGTTAAAGATAAAACTCCCATTGTCTTTTAAAGAAACTGGACAAGGGGCAAACACTTTACCTTCGATTTTCTCAAAACAGCATTTTTCGGGATAGCCCCCTTGTGCTTAAAAGCAACCATAATATAGTCTGCTGCGGCTTATAAACCAGTGCGCCTTATTTGTGAGAAAAGTTCAGACGAACACCCCAATTTTTCCACCAACCCCCACCCCCCCCCCCCCCAACCCCCGGCCAAAACAAGTGGGTGTGGCTTATATACAGGTTCATTTTCAGTTTTAGTAGAGGTTTTACGGCGCTCGCAACTGCATAAGGTCATATGAGCGCCAGAAGATTAGAGGTGTTACAAGAGAGTAACAAACATAAAAAAAGAACAAGGGGAGATACGGGCGATAGATGTTTAATAGGAAAGAAGGAGCAAACCACACCAGAGCACCCGCCAACCACCCACTAATATGGGATAGAGCGTTAATAAATGCAATCTATTATTATTATTATATAGTCTGCTGGGGCTTGAAGAAAGACTTCTCAGTGTAGTCCATTTTTTATAAACGGTAGATGATGATTTCATCTGAGAACACGGATTGTTTTGTTTGTTTGTTTTTGTAAGTGTTTTACGGCGCTCGCAACTGCATACGGTCATATGAGCGCGCGGGACACACTAAACTTTTTCAGTTGGTAGGAAATTTTGAATTTTGCCCGGGTGGCGGCCGAAGCCTATTCTTATCGATTTTAGACCACCAAGGGATCTTTAACGTGCACAACTTGCACACGGGACCTCCGAGATTTTTCGCCCTTGTCCGAGAAGGCTAGGCGTAGATCTTTCCTACCAGAAGATCAGGGGTGTGGCTGAAAGACAGCAGTAAGAAGGAGCCAATGAGTAGCAGTAGAAAGGCTGCAGAAAGAATCAGGAGCCCAGAGGAGGGGGCAAAGGAGGTGAAGGGGTGGGGGGCAGAAAGAGGAGACGAAAGCAGACGACAGAACATTGCTAGAGAGTAGGAAAGGAGGTGAAAGGAGACAAATTTAGAGAAGAAAATTTTTTGGTCGCTACCCGGATTCGAACCCGGGACCTTTGAATGAGAGACGAACACCTTAACCTCTAGGCCACGAAAGCCCCCGAACACGGATTAAGAGGGACAATGAATGATACAGGTATGACATAACATGAAATGATATGGTTTGATTGATTGGGTAGATGTTTTACAGCACTATCGACACAATTTGAAATGATATGGGGTACACCACATAACATACAGAGAACATGAACTAATATCATATAACACAGAGCCATACAGATTGATTGATTGGGTAGATGTTTTACGGCACTATCGACACAGTTTTGGACAGAGCCATACAGTAGAGGTGGGCAAAGTCCGGATAATCCAAAACGATAACCGGATAATTCTCAATGAAATATTATCCGAATTCAGACTCTCAACTCTTTCCTGACACGTTTGCCGAAGTGGGTGCACCCACTTTTTGAAGTGATGCTAACCCGTTTGTGGAAGGGGTTCTAACCCATTTGCCGAAGCGGTTCATTCATATTATTAGCCGAAGAGGTGCACTAAAACATTCTCATCCGGATGTTGCTGTAGCAACTCGTTGCCCAGCTCTACCATACAGGGCTTGTAAACCAGTGCGCCTTTGCGAACAAACTTCTGATTAACACAAAAAATATTAGTGGGTGTGGCTTACTATAGGCGCCCTCAATAGCCTGAGTGGGTGGCTGGCGTGCGCTCTGGTGTGGTTTGCTTCTTCTTTCCTATCAAACATCTATCATCCCGATCTCCCCGTCTTCTCTTTTATGTTTGTTACTCTCTTGTAACACCTCTAATTAATCGTCTGGCGCTCATAATATGACCTTATGCAGTTGCGAGCGCCGTAAAACCTTTACTAAAACTAAACCCATAGCCTGAACTTTACAGTATCCGCACTCACCTCCGCAAAGTCTTTGAAGATGGTCCTGCTGTCGGCTGGTTCAGTCGGTAGCTCGTTCGCTATACAGTACATGAGGTAGTAGAAACACCAGCCCAGGACTACAGAGTAGTAGCACCTGAAAAAGTTAGTTTTGACAAAAGTTTTACGGTGCTCGCAACTACATGGAAGAACATGGACAAAATAAGGGTGGATCTATATCTTGTTTGTTTTGTTTTAGTAGAGGTTTTACGGCTCTCGCAACTGCATAAGGTCATATGAGCGCCAGAAGATTAGAGGTGTTACAAGAGAGTAACAAACATAAAAAAAGAAATATTATTATCAATCGGTCTTTCGAGAGGTTGCCTTCAAATGGTCAAAAGACGGTGTCTT